GGTTGCATGTGGTGTGGATTTATTTCTGAAAGCATTATTTAATGAATTCCACAGAACAGAGCAGCTATGGGAAAGTCATGCAAAACAAACAGAAACAAACACACAGTCAAAACTGTTTTATTCACAAGTGAAGGACAGTTCAGAGATGAACAGGCGCAGACAAATGTTTAACCGCAGCCTTTAGTTCCTGTTCATGTGTTGGTGTGACGAGCATTAGTCGGTCAGACCGTAACCACTGCAACTGTTATCACAGGAACAAATTTTCTCTCTTTTGCATCAAACATCATTTGGGTTGCTCTGCACCAGAAGAGACTGAAGTAAAACACAAAAAGCAAATACCTTAACCCTGTCGCTGGCCTCCGTGCTGCTTTGTGGTTGACGACCCAGAAAAATATTTCATCACCATTTTCTGAAGTTCAGCTGTAAGTGAAGCCAGAAACAAAAAACTGCATTTATACACTAATTTCACCATGAAATTTGAATAGGAGTTGCACTTTCCTCCTTATCTGTAACGATTTTGGAATTATAGAGCCACAAAAAACAGTGTGTCATCCCTCCCATCACATTCCCCCACTTCAGAAAAGTCTTAAATGTGTATATATTTAATGTAAAACAGAAGTCAGTGCCTCAAAATGTTGGAATTGTGATTAAAACAGTAGAGTGGTCAACGAGGTGACTGAAGTGCACTGTGAGGAGGCGTTTCCTTGAAAGAAAGCAGTGAATCATTATTACGAGAAAACTGAAACAATGATGAAGTAAAAAGTTGCAGTAAAGTGTCTCTAACCTTCTAGCAGCCCCAGTAAATGAGAGGCAGATCTGAGAAATTAGAATGTACTCTTTTAACCACAGCCCAGCACCTTTCGCGATACCATCTCAACTGATATAGCTGACAGCGACAAACAGAAACGATTGTGTGAGATTGCTATTTGTGTGTTCCATTGTAAGCCTGTTGCCCCTGATCTTATCACAAGGAAGCAGCTTGTGGTTCAGAGAGGAATCCACACAACGACTGCATATCTGGGTATTGTAAAATTGTCAAATATAATACCCATAACACAACGCATGGGTCTGGGTACATGTGCGTGGTGCGTCTGTAATTTCACACATTTGCGTGTGTGAAATTCCACAGATCAGCATAAAATTACAGCTATGATTCTCAGCTCTGGTCTCACCTACACAGTTTTAACTAAAAAGTAAAGCTAAAGGTTATTCAAAGTAAAAGCCTCCAACCTTAATACACAAATACACATATCTGTTTTTTTTTTAGCATCATTCAGAGTGAAGTTATTTATTGTGTTTTTTCTTTGTATTTGATCATGAGACCGGATTGGCCTTTGGTTTCACATAATCATTGTTGAACATGTTGCTTCAGCAA